GGCGGGGTGGGAGAGGAGGAAGAACGCCGTGAAGGGGTTCGAGGCGGGGCGCATGGCTTCGGGGAGGAAAGGGAGAATGAATGATGTAGGGATAGCGAGGAGCGGGGGCACCATGAGGAGCGCCAAGGCAGAGTGTGGCGAGACGGCCCAGCGCAGCCAGGGCGAGACATCCTCCGCCTTGACGCCTGCTGCCAGCATCGTGGGCTTCCCGCCTTTGACGCTGGGCATCGAGTTATGGCTGTGGGTGTGGGTGAGGTGCGGAGGGACGAGAGCCGGCGGGGTGGGCGACGGCGGGGCGAGCGCAGCGCCGATGTGGTGCGCTGGGTCACTACAAATATCCTTTGAATACAATCTAAGGAAATGGAAGGAAAGAAACGCACTCGAGCGGGCCCTTGGGCTTTGGGCGTGCGGTGGAGATCATGCCAGTGGATGGCGGAGGAGACGTGGATTGACAGCAGATTTTCGGGTGGGGCCATCATTTGGGCCATCATTTTGATCAATTTAGGTCATCACATCAATTTAGGGTCAGAATGAATGAGGCACGTGTCAGGGACCGAAGCGGGCCATGCCCACTTCCGCGGCAGTGCCGCACAGCCTTGCAGAGCCGACGGGCCCGCCGGCGAGGGAGGCGGCATCCGTGGTTCCGCAGCAGGGCGTCATTTCGCTTACTCAGTTACCGGAGCGCAACCCAATTGAACTATTGAACTGGGTCTTGACTTTTACCGCATTTGAAGCGGTGTTTCCCTGTGAGGCCTTCTGACATCCGAGGTGTTTTTTACCAAGTTTTTTTACACGCGGGGTATTTTTCGTGTAAGCTGGTCAGATTGAATTATAGAACGCGTACCTAAGAACGGCTCGATGGCGGATGGTCTGCACCTGCACCACTTGCGCGATCCTGAGACAATCCATGCAGGAGACGCCCGTTCGACTCGGGCTCGAGCCATCCCCAGATTTCGCTTCTCTTTTTTCTCTCAGGGTCCAAAATCCTCTTTCCGTATCAATGTACTCAACTGCCTTTATCTCTCTGCCCAGTGCCCATTGCACTCCGATTCCAGAATCAGTCCTGCCTGTCTCAGATTAAATTTCGCCCCGCTCGTTATGACGTGGACTCGAGGGGACAGTGAGATTGAGACTCAACCATGGGCTGAGAATTGCATCTATTCATGCTGCAAGCTAGACTTGGAACGGCTTGATGGCGGAGGGTCCGCACCCGCATACGTTGGATGATTAGCAGATCACTCTATGCAGGAAACACCCGTTCAGCTCGGGTTCAAGCCATGTCTAGTCAGGGCATATTTTTTCCCTCTCTCTGTTGCATCCTCAAGCATTCCGACTCACACACACCGGATAAAGCAAAATATTGACCTAGGAATTAGCCTCAATCAGCCACTCTTTCACAAGCTATGTCTTTTTTCACTGCCCGCAAGTTGAGGAAGGACTGCTAAAAGAGAAACTTTTAGCCGTCCATTTCCGGGCAGAAGAAAGGACTTTTGGTGTAGCAATCAAAATTTCCTTTGCTCTAACAAAGAGAGTTTGGATTGTTACGATGAGAGTCCTTCTTTCAATATACCTGAAAGCACCACCAAATGAATTTCTTTGGGCATGACTTTCTTCACTCGTGGAAAGAGAACAAAACCATGGCTTGTGAAAGAGCAGCTGATTGAAGCTAATTCCGTGTCAAATTCGTATCAAAAGATAAGAACAGCTTTCTATCAAGTTTGATTTGGGCTCGAACGGCGAATACGTAAATTCCTGTGGAACGACAAGGGATTAATAGTAGTTAATAAGGAGACAATATACGCACCCATAGAAGATGGAGGCCGTAACCTCCTCGACATAGTAGCGAGGAATGAAGCCATAACGGCAACCTGGCTGAAGTCATACCTAGACTTTGGCCCCACGCGCCCCCTCTGGAGCTTTGCCGCCGACGAGCTTCTGGCGCTGAACGCGGACTCCAAATCGAGAGACCGGGTTGACAAGGAACTACGCGTATGCGTCTTCCTCCAAGCGTGGGACTCTGGCCGAACGCTGAAACCAAAAGACCTAGTCGATATGCTCAAGGTCGCGAAGCAACGCGGAGTGAGCATGGATGGACTCGCCTTCTCGAGGGAAATAATGAGAGACGTGGTGATATGGTACCACATCCGCTCTGGAGCAAAGAGAAAGCTCTTCAACCTCGGGAAAGAAATAAAATGCATGAAAGCGTACCACAAAACCAGGACTGTCAGAGACGCAGAAACGCTAGCTAGAAGACTGAACTCACCCGGGCACCACGCGAGATCCAACTGTGCATGCACGGGATGCAGGGCTACTAGGGCTCAGTGCCCTCAATGCGAGAACCCCGGTAAATGCCACATGAAAGCAGAACAACTGCTGAACTCACTGGAACCCAAATGGAACCCACTACAACCGCAGCCGGAAGACTATGAAGACCTCCCAACGCCCCAAATCGTCCTAGGAGAGAGGGAGGTGGCCTTCGACCCGCGAATAACGACAACGGGCAACCTTGGGGACGCCTTCCGTGTCTTCACCAACGGCCTGAAGAGCGGGCCGACCGCGCCAGACACAAGGATGACACCGGAACCCGACGAGGAGGAGATAACCGTCTACACGGACGGCTCCGCGACGAGCAACGGGCGGCCGAACGCACGAGCGGGATCCGGCGCCTTCTACGCGCCAAATGATGTGCGAAATCTTGCGATCCGGGTCCCAGAAGAACTAAAGCAGTCAAACAACGTTGCTGAGATCCTCGCAGTAAAAGAAACTATTGAAACGAACCCCAAGGATATCACACTCCGCATTAAGAGCGACTCCAAGCTCGTGATAGACGGCCTCACGACCAACCTACGGAGGTGGGAGAACGAGGGCTTCAACAAGACAGAGAACGGTCACCTGATCAAGGCAACCGTGGCACGCCTCCGAGAGCGCCACGCCCCCACAGCCTTTGAATGGGTCAAAGGGCATGCAGGGATAGAAGGAAACGAGAGAGCGGACGAACTGGCTGACGAAGGCCGCCAGAAAGACACTGCCCCCATCGTCGACCTAAATATACCACGCGCCGTCCTTCTACCAGGCGTGAAACTACGCAACATAACGCAATCCCTCGCTTACAAAATAATAAGAGCACAGAAAATGGAAACCCCGACGTACCAAGAAGCCCTAGACAGGCTCACAACGACACGCAACATGGTATATGCCCAAGACGCGGCAGCAGACGGCGAGGAGGACGTACCGGCCCCAGCCCAGATATGGAAGTCGATCCGACACCGGGACATAACGAGGAGCATACGGTACTTCCTCTGGATGCTGATCCACGAGGGGTACCCACTAGGAGAATACTGGAAAAAATTCTCAGCAGACTATGCCGACAGAGTGGACTGCAAGAAATGCAACAGACCAGAAAGCATGACGCACATCCTCACGGAGTGCGAGGAAAACGGCCAAGAGACCGTATGGGAACTCGTCTCAGAGCTCTGGGAAATGCGAACGGGCAACAAAATGAACCGCCCCCTGATGGGCGAGATAATGGCCTGTGGCCTCACAAAAAAAGGTACACTACCTGGGAAGACAGATGCAGGCACGACGCGTCTGTACAAAATCGTTATGTCGGAATCAGCCCACCTTATATGGCGCCTCCGCAACGAGCGAGTTATAAATAATACACAGCCAGCGACGAACAACGAGATTCGAAATAGATGGCTACACACCCTAAACCTACGAATACAACTCGACTGCCTGATGACAAACAGAGCGAAATATGGCGCAAAAGCACTTAAGAAATTACTAGTAATCAAGACATGGGCTGGAATCCTCCACAACGAAGACAGACTCCCCTCGGATTGGACCAGGGAGACCAGGATTTTAGTGGGTATTGGCTGATGAAGGGTAATGATAGGTTGGCCTGCGCAACCTTGAACCCGGAGGCTCGAGTCCCACACAGGCGTCCTTTAGCGGCGTATCGTGCATAACAGCATTTTTCCTGATGTGGCTGTCAGGCGAGGTTGAAAGATCGTGGTCCCCGCCGCCATTAACAACTGTGTGGTATACCAGAGACGACTAGGTCGTGTGTCTAAATGATCCGCTGAGGCGGTGATAGATGAGTACTAGACAGTACTACTCTAAAATGCCATCTTGTTCCACATAAGTTTGATTTGGCTACCAATTTATCTAGTTTCAGTTAACATATCGGCCTAGGTCAATATTTTGTTTTATCTGGTGTGACATATCAGCATCTGACTCGTTCTCGAAGCACTGCGTCGGTGCTCATTCACCTCGGGCCTCCAAACCTATGCTCTTGTCTGCCGAGCAGATTCGAAGACTACTCTGCCCGAACTAAGAATCATCGAAAATTTCACGTATGTTGAGGGTGCACGCACATCGTGTATCGGCTCGGTGGCGGAGTGCCCGCACCTGCAGTGGATGTTGTGGTAAAAGATGTCACTATCATGTACAAGATTCCCGTTCGACTCGGGCTCGGGCCATGGAGCTGCCAGACGTGTCGTTTTTGAAGCAGTTCCATCGCAGCTCACTCTTGACTTGAGTTCACATCAAGGATTTCCTGGCCCATAATTGCTCTGTGTTCCTACCTGGGGAGATTGGTTGTGCGGTTGAAAGTAGAGTCAAAGCGGATGGCATGATGGCATTCAAAAATATGTGCACCGATATCCAGGCTCGAAAGTAGCCTAAGAACGGCTCGATGGCGGACGGTCCACACCTGCATCCTTTTTAGCGGTGATTGAGCCTTTGACAGCAGGAAAAACCCGTTCGACCCGGCTCGCGCCATGTGACGCCACCACGGTGGTTCCTCTTTTGATGAATATTTCTGGCCCGCCTTTTCCTGAATCCAATCGGCACGACGCTCCTTTCCTAATTTCTTTTGGCTGCTTCTGGTTCGTAAGATCCTGCTTACCTACATTACATTTTTTATACGCCGCGCACACCCAGCCTCCAGGCGATCACTGGAGAAGATGTACATGTATCCATCCTCCAGTGCTTGTATTGGCTCGATGGCGGAGGGTCCGCACATGGGCCTTGAACATCAAGTGTTTCATGCGGGATGCCCGTTCGACTCGGGCTCGAGCCATGGAAGGTCTTGGGCATTTTTTTCCCTCTGCCACGGCGCATTACCCTTATTAGCCAAAGAACAGGTCGATGGTGGATGGTTCGCGCGTGCAATCCATATACCACAAAGGTTTTTTGCCGACTCGGTCCCTTGTCGTGTACCAGTCGCAGATATCCATGTCATTCTGTAACTATCACCCTGCAACACTCTACGATATATTCAAGTTCGAAGTGAAGTTTGTAGCGACTGGATGGCGGCCAGTCCGCACTGGCACCTGCATCTCATCGATTCGTTGTAGAAAATTCACTGCAGGTTGTACTAGGTCGATTCAGGCTCGAGCCATTGTAACGTTCGAACCAGTATTTTTTATGTAGTCCCTGAATATGCACAGCTTTCATGCGGATTCTGTCAACAGTCGCTCTTGCCTACCTCCCACGCCGGCCGGGCAGATGTCATGTGCCCAGACAGACCAGAGACTAGTATACGTATTGGTTCGATGGCGGGCGGTCCGGGCCTACATCTGCTACAACCCCGGCACTTGTACTGACGTCATGTTCCTCGTTGCCCGGTAATCCTACACAGGACAGGAACACCCCCCCCCCCCAGGCCTTTCCGCTACCCACAACCAGCTTGAGAGCGACTCGTCGCCAATGAGGTGTGACCTTTATGAATGGTGCGTTCCGGGATCCCCTTTTAATACTACCTACTCATTCCGGCGCAGTGGAGACAATTACAGTCTTCAACCGGCAGTATTGCAGGAGTTCCTAGACATGCTCGCGGCAAATTCAGACCTGAGCGATAATCTGCGCGTTGTTTTTGACCATCGGCTCCGCGGCTCGAGCATTCCATCGCCAACAACCCATATTCGTTCTACGGACCGAGGCAAGTTATTTCCTTCCGATTGGTTGCTTAGCTATGGGGGTAATAGTGTTCCATAATTATTCCGGTTTTTTCGCAGAAAATTCACCGCTGACATGGAAAAACACACAGGTCCGAACCAGATGTGAAAACTGACACTACCTCTCTTTTCCCGAAAATATTCACACTTGGGCTGCTGCTATAAAAAAAAGTCGCCGGTGCACATCAGACAAAAAATACACCGGTCCCATTACCATAAGTGTGGCACACCCTCCAAACCCTCCACTAAAAAGTCACCACCTCCCTATCCGCAAAACATTCACCGGTCATGGAGCACTTGCTTTAAAAAACACTAACATCAGGTACGCCAGCAAAGTCACCAGCCAAGTTCTGTTTGCGAAACAGACATCACTACGCGCGATTAATTGATACAGTTGGCTGTCATATAGCGTCTCAGTAATAGACGAAGATGCCACCGTCCCGCTGTCTGCACAAATCTCCTCATGAACACCCCAGGAAGCCTATGTTGAATCATATGTTCGGCAGTCAATGGAGTCTATCCTGACAGTTCAATGTCTGGGTGCAGCCGAGACTAGGCGGATAGTAATTTGCGTTGATTTGAGTGTATCATAACTCGCGTTCTTCAAATACTAATGGTTGTCTCCGCTCATCGCAGGAGAATACGCTAAACGATGAATGTATGCTCGGGGTTCAATAGCAGAAATTAAATCATGGCAGTGAACCTTGAAGCACATGGGCAAATTCCAATTGACATTGGATTTTCAGTATGTGATTCTTCCGATCGGGATACAATTTCTATGAGCGAGCAATTTGCATGGCATTGAGCAAGAAAGATCCGTGGCCTTGGTCTTACCACGAACGAGTAATTTCACTGGCACTGTGGAAGAAACATAACCCTGTGCGATACACCTCTCCGGACAACTCCGAGCAAACAGGCGATTTACTTCTGCATTAAGTTCTAGCGGGTACTTGAAACTTAGGTACTATGCATATATAAATGTTTGAATCTTTTAAAGGAGCTTCAAAGACGGCAGAAAAATATATAGTAGGCCCTAGACAATGTGCTTCGTGTATACTACTCCACATCTTTTAACGCCGAGAATATTTTTTGAAACCTCCAGATATTCATAGAACCCCTCCGGGGCGATAGGGAGCAGGGAGGACTGAGTTACACAGGTGTTGTCTTCATTTGCCGTGGGTCATAGGGACCTGTGAATCATTTTAAGAGGAGTTGATCAAAGGGTAACTATATGGTGACAGGGTTGTAAATTCAATTTCAAGTATCCAGGGTGTGAACTTCTCCAAACTTCAGAGCTGTGAATTTGTTTTCCAGAGGTATGAGGTGGTGCATTTTGGAGAAATGAGGGGTGGTGATTTTTTTCCTTGTGCATTCCAGTAGGGTATTTTGGAGAGATGAGGGCGGTGAACTTTTGTGGCAGATGCAGGAGAGGTGTGCTTATATCTGTGAATTTCCAGAAGGTGGTACGAAGTTTCATCAAAACAGGGTAGGGTGTGCGAAAAAATGTCAACTGGTGTACCAAATAATTATGGTACAGTATTACAGCCATACTTAGCATATACAAGTTATGTAAAAGACACTTCCTTGACTATTTTTTCCTGCCCTCTAAATATACCTCAGTCCCAAATCCCCCACTATAACCGCTAACTAGACGGGAAGCGTTCATTTCTATACACGAGGGCAAGGCGTCGACCGATATTATGCGGCGTGCGAGGGTGGATCGTGTGTCAGCGGCGACGAGAGACATAGCGAATTCGTTCGCGGCAAGCGGCGCGCGCGTCTACGTACTTTGATTGGCGCCCGTCCAAACTGAATGACATGTCACGTCAGTGGTGGCCACCCAATGACCACCATGTCCGACGAGGAGAAAGGCAGCGCGGTTCACGCCCATGAGCCAGATAGGATTCTTCTGCACATGCGAACACCAAGTTCTCATCCATTACAGAACTCTATGATAATCCGAGCGACGAAGCGGCAGCGGCGAAGCTTTGGGCAGTGTACATTTCCGAGGCCGAAAAATACGACAAAGCGCTGGTGGAGAGTTGGAAAAGTGACATGGAGGGGATGTTAATATTTGTATGTGCATTATGTAACAGCCTCCGACTCAGACTGATGGTGGTGACTGCAGGCGGGTCTCTTCTCCGCAAGTCTCACAGCATTCATCATCGAGAGCTACAAGACTCTCGTCCCTGACCCAAGCGAGTCCACCGTACAGCTCCTTACACAGATTTCACGGCAGCTTGCAGCGGCTGCGAACGGAAGCACTTTTCTGCCACCCGCACCGCCAGTCTTTATCCCACCGGCTACCTCGCTCGCCTGCAACATCCTGTGGTTTATTAGTCTCGGACTCAGTCTCAGTTGCGCCCTCATTGCGACTCTCCTTGAGCAGTGGGCACACGACTTCCTGCACAAGGCGGACATGCGCTCTGCCCCCGTCATTCGCGCACGCATTTTCTCGTATCTCTATTATGGGCTGAAACGCTTCAATATGCATACAGTCGTGGAAATCATCCCACTGCTCCTCCATGAATCCCTGATCTTCTTCTTCGCCGGACTTGTCGCCTTCCTCATCCCCGTCAACACCGCCATCGCAGGAGTGGCCGGGGCGCTTTTAGCCATTCTTACCGCCGTGTATGCCGTCCTAACCCTCCTCCCTTTGCGATATCTCGATTGCCCGTACCGCACTCCGCTTTCGAGTGCATTTTGGCGCCTCTCCTGGACGGCGATGGCATTATGGCGCCGTCGGCATCGAACGTCAGAGGAAGCACACAATATACACGAGTCCTCATCAGAGGAAACTATGATGGAGGCCATGTCTCGGTGCGCCATTGAACCGTCAACTGCACGGAGGACTCGGGATTATCAAGCCCTCGTCTGGACTATCAAATCATTGGCTGATGACACAGAACTCGAGCCATTCGTCGAGGCAATCCCCGATGTATTGTGGGGGCCTGACGAAAGGCGATACAGATATCACGGCCACGTTCAACAGCTGTTACGCGAACAGGACCTGGAATTGTTGTTGCGCATGGGGGACCTCCTCCTCAGCTGCAACAGTGGATTGCTGTTGCCAGAGGCCCGCAAACACCGCCTGATTACTTGCTACAAGGCGCTGTGGGCCACAGCCAGTCTGCAGGAGGGTCTCTCCTCCCCCCAATATCAACAGCCCCTCGATTTCACATTCTTCGTCGACTATGATTTCGATGCAGAGCCCGATATTGCCCATTATCGCAACTCTGCCTCTGCGCTGATGGAATGGAACCGGTTTTGTGGTGTAGCAAATCGTCTTGCGGAGCTCCTTACCCTTTGTGAAGCCGACCATCAGGCCGGACGTGCTCCAGATTTCGAGCCTATTACATCATATCTGCATCAGCTTACGAGGGGACCTGTGTATGATGTCTTTCACATCAATGGCGAGACCCTCAAGTACTTGTATGGTGTGTCAGGCCACCCTGAACGCCCTCCCTCGGAAGCGATTGCAGATCTTTCCCGAGTGATCGCGAACATTTGCGCGGCAACTCCCTACCGAATGCTGTTCAATTACCTCGAGGATTCGGCCTCCTTGGATGCTCCTCCTTACCGTTTCCAGGCTACCCAGCAGATGATGATTCCTGCTGAAATACCTCCATTTTTCAGCTACAAGCATGATGTGGAATCTGCGCTAAACAATGTTGTGTATACGCAGCTAGCCAGGCTAAATGGGGCAGAAAGCAATTCCTGGATCGACTCTATGATTAGTGAACTATTTTCCCGGTGGACCCCAGACCAAATTTCTGAACCAACACCTCTGCCCCGCGCCGTGATTCATTACCTGAAAAACCGGACTGCAGATTCCGCCGTTGAAAAATTCCGCTGGCCGAATGGCTTCACCACATGGGCCGCGTTTCCGACAACGCTGTCCAGAGCATCGCACACTGCCGGTGTTGACAGCTCCGTAACTGAAATCGAGGATGTACTGGCTGCAATTTGGCGTTTGTCATCACTACCATGGGCTCCAGGACCGAGCACGGCAGTATATGACACCGTTCTCGAACACCTTACCAACGCGAGCTCCGCCTGTGCTTTTTCCGTGATTGTCATGGTCAAAGCGAGAACACTTGACAGCCTCCTAGCCCTGCGCGAG